TGGGAGGCTGAGGGAGGAGAATCGCTTGAACCCAGGAGGTGGAGGTTGCAGTGAGCCGAGATCATGCCATTGCACTCCAGCCTGGGCAACAAGAGGGAAACTCCATCTCAGAAAAGAAAAAAAGAAAATGGTTGGATGTGGTGACTCACGCTTGTAATCTTAGCACTTTGGGAGTCTGAGGCAGGAGCATCACTTGAGCCCAGGAATTTGAGGCCAGCCTGGGCAACATGATGAGACCTTGTCTCTACAAAAAAGAAAATTAGCCAGGCATGGTAGCACAAACCTGTGGTCCCAGCTAATCGAGAGGCCGAGGCGGGAGAATCACCTGAGCCTGGGAGTTTGAGGCTGCAGTGAGCCATGACTGCATCACTATACTCCAGGCTTGGCAACAGAGTGAGACCCTGTCTCAGGAAAAAAAAAAAAAAAAGGATACAAGACATGAAAAACAGCATAAGTCAGAATTAGAAAAACATAGAAATGAGGTGATAGTACTTGAGAAAATATTAAAATTAAAGAAAAATCATCTCATAAATGAAAATTAAGCTAGCAGACAGGAAGGCAGTTTTAAAAATGAAAGATGAATTAAGAAAAGGATAAGAAAGACCCAAGAAAATTTATAAGTAAAGTTTGATAAAATTGATTTAAAAATAAAGTAGGCAGAGGAGTTTAAAATAAAAACTAATAGAATTCCTAAGAAGAAAGGAAGATTCGGATACTAGAACAAATAATAAACTATAATTAAAACTTTTCCTAAATTAAGAAAAGTTTTGAAGCCAGGTGTGATGATGACTCACACCTGTAATCCCAGCATTTGGGGAAGCTGAGGCAGGAGGACTGCTTGAGCTCAGGAGTTGGAGACCAGCTTCGGCAACATAGTGAGACCCGTCTCTACAAAAATAAATGAATAAATAAGCCACTAAAAACAAACAAACAAGAAACCCAAGTCTTATAACTTTAACAAGGGTGGTAACCTGGAGTCAGTAAACTTTGGAGAAAAAAAGAAAAAATTTTGAAATGTTATGTTAATATTAAAATAGAACATTATCTACTTGGGAATCAATTCAGAAAGATTAACACTAAGACCAATGACTTATAGCGGAAAGACAACAAATTTTTTTTTCTTTTTTTGAGACGCAGTTTCACTTTTGTTGCCCAGGCTGGATTGCAATGGTGTGATCTCGGCTCACTGCAACCTCCGCTCCTGGGTTCAAGCGATTCTCTTGTCTCAGCCTCCCGAGTAGCTGGGATTACAGACATGCACCACCACACCCAGCTGATTTTGTATTTTTAGTAGAGACAGGGTTTCTCCATATTGGTCAGGGTGGTCTCGAACTCCCAGCCTCAGGTGATCCTCCCACCTCGGCCCCCCAAAGTGCTGGGAGGACAATGAATTATTAATATCAGACATTTTTGACAACAAGCCTCAATGTTCTAATAAAATGGAGTTCCATATGTAAGATACTTATTCAAAGAAAAAGGGAGCTAAGTACTTAAATCCAGGAAGACTGCCCTTTGAATAAAATGAACAGAGATATACTTGTAGGAAATCAGGGAAGGTTGCTTCCATGAACCCTTCCTGAAACATCCATAAGAGACATTTATTCAACGACCAGAATTAAATAGACAATCACTTGTTGCACTAACACTAAATGAGAGTTAAAGGGAAGAGAACATAATTGGCATGCGCTCCAGCGATGAAACTGTAGTTACAAATATCAAACACTGTGAGGAAACGAAGGCCATACCAAAACATTTGAGCTGTTTTCAGTCATCATATTGTTAGTGTTCACATTAATGATGTGTATGAGATTGTTGTGTGTGAATGTGTGACAAAACAAATTAATAATTATGGGTTATCACCTCCTTGAGAAACACATTATGCTCAATGGTGAAAATTGAGATTTCCCTCTAAGATCAAGAACATGGCAAGGATGCCCACTCTCACCACTTCTGTTTAATGTGGAAGTCTTTGCCACAGAAACTAGGCAAGAAAAAGAAATAAAATACATCCAAATAGGAATGGAAGAAATGAAATGGTCTCTGTTTTCAGATGACATTTCATTTCTTATATATAGAAAACCCTAAAGACTCCACCCAAAAAACCCCAAGGAAACACTAAAACTGTTAGAACTGATGAAAGTATTCTCAATACAGAATACAAACTACAGATTTTTTTTTTTAAAGTAAAAACTCTGTAGCTCTGGACTTAAATTGGAATTTACATCCCACCTTCAGTAGCAATGATCTTCTGAGCACTCAGATCGTGCTCTTGAAATACTGTGTTTGACTACAAAAAAACAAGGCTCCTTGGGGGAATGACTGACTCTAGGTCTTAGACAGGAAATAGACGAGATGAGCCTGAACATCTTGTCAAACCATATAAAAGAAAACTAGCAGGTACCATTAGTACTATTATGCCTAGCACTATTAAAAGGACTCAGGAACCAAGCTGGCAAAGCTCCTGTTGTACGAATACGGGGCAATTTGAGCTTTCATAGGAATAATAATTGCAATGAATTGAAACCCATCAAATATATTTAAATCCATGACCTAAAAATAATATTTAAAAGCTAATTGGCCCGCTTTAGATGGTGAAAAAGAACAATCACATGATCTCAAGAGCTTCTAAAGAAAAGAATAAGACATTGTCTTTTCTATACAAATTTGTCACTAGGCAACCAAATAGTAGATTACAAGATGTCTCTTTACAGAAGTATTTGAGTGACATCTAGCTTCCGGTTTGGCATGTAAACAGGCTGGAAGTTATCACTCCCATCCTTACAACAAGAAAAAAGGTGAACAAACTAAAAATCAACAACTCTTTTTAGATTCATAAGAGAAGTGAGGTCACAGAACAAAGTACCTCCCTGAACACTGGAGAGACAGACAGGTGGACAGAGACAATCACAACTTGCTGGGGAGGAGAGGCCCCAGCAGAGTCAGCACCAGTGGAAATACTTAAAGGGTAATTGATGAACTGCTAGAGACTAAGCAAGGGCTAACTTGAGAGCTTAAAACTCCTCAGGGCCCACTTTTAGGGGTCCTCACACTTTTATGAGTTTTAGTTCTGGAAGCTACACCAGGCTCTCAGGTGAAGAGCAGAAAAGAATCCCCCAGTGTTTGTGGCATAGCAAGGAGAAAAGTAGCCAATTTTAAATATGCCCAGCACTGTCTATTCTCATTAACCAAAGCCTGCCCTCAAGGGAAACTATGCATCCAGAGCCTAACCAACTTGGGTTCTATCAGTCTGACGTGTGGGAAGGGAAATACTGGAATCCAGCCTGCCCTAGCCTTGAATGTTGGGAAATACCCAACTTCAGCCCATTATTTTCCCATCACACTTAAGGGGGGAAGGTGAAGGTGAGAAAAACACTTGGGTGGTGACCTTCTCACTAAAGACTGAGACCTAACCACAGAACTAAAGAATGCTTCCTCATCCCCACACCTTATCATTACATCTGTGGGGTTCCTATGTAGTATCGGAGGATTACAGCTGAAATAACTACTTGTTTATTTAAGAAGGAGTCTCCAGGGAGACCCAAAGACCACAGAGGAGACAAAAACAAGATCATTAGGGGAAAGTTCCGACTCAAACACCACAGTTTCAGGAGGTGGTAAACACAGCCTAATTGCTAGTCAGATAAACCTCACACCAATGATCAGTTTACCTCAGATCCTCTTACTTAATATATCATGTCTAGCTTTCAACAAAAAGTTACAAGGCATGCTAAAAGGCAAAATAAGCAAAACAAAAATCCCACACAGCCTGAAGAGACCAAGCATCAAAACAAAACTTAGATATGGCAGATATTTTGGAATTATTGGACTGAGAATTTGAAGTATTAGGATTAATACACTAAGGGCTGTAATGGGAAAAGTGGGCCACATAGAAGAAGAGAGGGGCACTGAAAGCAGAGCCATGAAACTCAAAGAATAAAAAGAAATGCTAAAGACAGGAAAGCAACCTGAGTGTCCATCAACAGATGGTTGGATAGAGAAAATGTACATATATATCATGGAATACTACTCACTCATAAAAAGAATGAAATCATGTCTTTTGCAGCTATGTGGATAGAACTGGAGGCCATTATCCTACATGAAACAACTCAGAAACAGTCAATTAGCATATGTTCTCACTTATGTGGGAGCTAAATAATGTGTACACACGGATATAGAGAGCAGATAATAGATACTGGAGACTCAGAGAGGTGGGAGAGTGGGACGGGGATGAGGAAGGATAAATTACCTAATGGGCATAATGTTCACTATTTGGGTGATGGTTACACTAAAAGCCTGGACTTCAGTACTATGCAATATATCCATGTAACAAAACTGCACTTGCACCCCTAAATCTATGAAAATAAAAATAAAATGTGAAGATGAAAACCAATCAAACAAAAAGAAATGCTAGAAATCAAAACCACTGCAACAGAAATGAAGAATGCTACTGATGTCTCATCACTAGATGAGATACTACCTATGAAATGTGAAATGGTAGTATTTTTTTGAAAGTGGACATAGATTAGTTGTAATTATTGTGAACTCTAGGGCAACTATTTAAAATTGTAAAAGGAAGTCCAGTTGACCCTTGAACAACGTTGGGGTTACTGGTACTCCCCATGCAGTAAAAAATCCATATATAGCTTTTGACTCCCCAGAAACTTTTACCGTGGGGGGGATGTTCTTTCTTAAATGTCTCAATTTCTTCTACAAAAATTCGGTCTATTTAATAAAACTTCTCTGTCTTTCTCTCTCTCTCTCTCTTTTTTTTTTTTTTTTGAGACGGTGTCTCACTGTGTGGTCCAGCCTGGAGTGAAGTGGCACAATCACATCTCACTGCAGCCTCAACCTCAAGGGTTCAAGCAATCCTCCCACCTCAGCCTCCAGAGTAACTGGGATTACAAGTGTGTACCACCATGCCTGGCTCATTTCTTTAGACAAGGGTCTTGCTATGTTGCCCAGGCTGGCCTTGAACTCCTGAGCTCAAGTGATCCTCCTGCCTTGACCTCCCAAAGTGCTGGGATTACAGGCATAAGTCACAGTGCCCAGCCTAAAACCTCTCTCTCTACTGGGGTTAGTTTTAGCAAATTTATTTTCCTAAAAAGTGCTGCTTGTTTTCATTTAAATTTTCATTTAAATTTATTTATATAGAGTTGTACACTCTCTCGTGTGGTTTCTTACCTTTTCTCTGTTGGTGGATCATTTTCACTTGTCATTTCTCATTTTGTATATTTTTGTTCTCATCTCCTATCTTGAGTAGGTTAGTGATCTCCCCCAACCCCTGTACACTGTTTGATATTTTCCAAGGAGCAGACTTTCGAAATACGAGTTTTTGGTGCTTTTCTGACTTGGGGCTCCTTCATGCTTCATCGTGTTTGTTCCTTCCTGGTGTCTACTTTCAGCTCAGGTTACCGCCCCAACACTTTTTTTTTTTTTTGCAATTGGATGTTTAAATGTCTGCAGCTGTTTTATATGTACAGGTGTAGGCATGTAAGCAATGACCTTTCCTCGGGCCTGGGCTTTGACCACATCCCACAGATTCAGAGGAGTGTGTCTGTGTCATCGCCCCTCTGTTTCTGGAAAGAGCTGATTCGGTCTGTGCTTCTCCTTTCCTGAGAGCCTCAGGAGGGGTGATAGTCTCTCCTTTCTGTGCGTGGAAGAGGACAATGACTCTGGCAGGGGCAGAAGGAGCCACACAGGTGATCTCAGAGGCTTGCTTTGTAAATATTTAATGATCTTATCAAATCTCAGGTGCACTCTGCCCAAGCTGGGTTCTCCCTGGCCAGCCGCTCTCCCCCTTCCCTTTCTTCTTTGTACACTTTCTCATCACCTCCTGGACTCAGCATCCACCTCTGGGATAGGTGGCCCTTGCCTGCTTCAGAGAGACCAGGACAGGAGATGCTTAGGGCTCTGGAGGCAGCTGGGCTGGGGCAGGGTGTGCAGCCGTGAGAATGCTAGAGTGGGTATCCTGACCTCACAGCACTGACCAGCCAGCCATCATGGCCACAAGGACACTGAGAGTGGCCCCCAGAGCTGGAGAGAGAGCAGGGGCTGGCTGAGCAGGAGTGGGTGTGATTTCTATGTTATAACATATCCATTCTGAGAAATAGGAGACACTGGCATACACTCCAGGGTACAGAGGGTTGGTGCAACCTCGGCCCCAGCTCACAATTCCAATCTGCAACCAGCTGCGGTTGAATTCACACACAAGTGGGCCCCCGGAGTCACCCTAGAAAGGAAGAGGGAGTTATTGTGAACTGGGAGTCCCAGGTCTGCTGCCTCCTGCACCTGTCTCTCGGTGCAAGGGGGTGGCTGTGCAGGCCCTGCTGGAAGGGGCCAGTGTCCCCCTCTCACCCAGCCCCCCTACTGGTTGCAACACAGCCCAGAGCTGCAGGGAGGCCTGCTGCAGGCATGTGGCATTCATACATTGTCATGCATTGCCCTGTTCAGCTCAGGGCACGGCTGCAGGGCTCCTGCTAGTCAGTGGGAGGCCAGAGCGGGGTCCCCTGGGGTCCACAGGCACAGGGCACCCGTGACCTCTGTCTCACGGACCAGGAGGGGCACACCTCACACACGGTCTTAACGTTCAGGATGTCCCCAGCACACAGCATGTCGGGCATGATGTAGGACACGTGTCCGTAGAGCAGGCGGCACCAGGGCTCCGGGATCAGCGGGAGCTGCACCTCCTGCAGCTCGTCTGAGGTCTCACCTGTGGGAGGAGGGCTCCCGTGAGGGGGCAGCGCCTGCCTTGGGTGGGGTGGGGGGATCCCTGCCCCACAATGGACACCAAGGGGACAGCCCATGGAGAGGAGCCCCACCACACATAGGGAGGAGCCCTAACAACACATAGGGATGAATCCCACCATACATAGGGAGGAGTCCTGACCACACATAGGGAGGAGCTCCACTATAGATAGGGAGGAGCCCCATCACACATAGGGAAGAGCCCCACTACACATAGGGAGGAGTTCTGACCACACATAGGGAGGAGCCCTAACCACACATAGGGAGGAGTCCCACCACATATAGGGAGGAGCCCCACCACACATAGGGAGGAGTCCTGACCACACATAGGGAAGAGTCCCACCACACGTAGGGAGGAGCCCCACCACACATAGGGAGGAGCCCCACTGCACATGGTGAGGAGTCCCACCACACACAGGGAAGAGCCCTGAACACTCAGAGGGAGGAGCCCCACCAAATGAGGAGGAGCCCTAACCACACATAGGGAGGAGCTCCACCACAAACCGGAAGGAGCACTGACCACACATAGGGAGGAATCCCACCACACAGGTAGGAGTCCTGACCACACATAGGGAGGAGTCTCACCACACGGAGTGAGGAACCCTGACCACTCAGGGGAAGGAGCCCCACCACATGTAGGGAGAAGCTTTGCCCACTCACAGGGAGAAAACCTCACCATTTGTGGAGGGTAGGGGAGGAAGCCTTGACCACAGACAGGGAGTAACTCCAATGACCCATGAATGAAGTCCCAACCACAGATGGGGAGGAGCCCAGGTCTCACTGGGGAGGATCCCCACCACATACTGAAGGAACACTAACCCTAAGCCTAACCCCTAGCCCTAACCCCAACCCTATGTTTGGTTTCCTGAATATTTATATCAAAAAGAAACAATTATAAAAGTTAAAACAAATAAAAGATGTCAAAAGTAAGAGAGTGTTCCATGAAGAGTCAAATCAGGACAGAACAGTCTAGGGAGTTGAAAGTCACATAGAGGCTTTGTTTGTTTGTTTGTTTTGTTGTTTTGAGACCGGGTCTTACTCTGTCGCCCAGGCTGGAGTGCAGTAGTGCAATCTTGGCTCACTGCAACCTCACCTCCCAAGTAGCAGAGACTACAGGTGGGCGCCACCATGCCTGGCTAATTTTTATATTTTTAGTAGAGATGGGGTTTTACCATGTTGGCCAGGCTGGTCTTGAACTCCTGACCTCAGGTGATCCACCTGCCTTGGCCTCTTAAAGTGCTGGGATTACAGGCATGAGCCACTGTGCTTGGTCGGTGTTTTGTTTGTTTTTTATTTTTTTTTTAGACAGAGTTTCATTCTTATTGCCCAGGCTGGAGTGCAATGCAGTGGTGCTATCTTGGCTCACTGCAACCTCTGCCTCCCAGGTTCAAGTGATTCTCCTGCCTCAGCCTCCCAAGTAGCTGGGATTACAGGCGTGTGCCACCATACCTGGCTAATTTTGTATTTTTGGTAGAGACGGGGTTTCTCCATGTTGGTCAGGGTGGTCTCAAACTCCCGACCTCAGGTGATCTGCCCATCTCAGCCTCCCAAAGTGTTGGGATTACAGGCGTGAGCCACAGCGCCCGGCTGGTTTTTATTTTTTGTTTTTGTGTATGTATGTGTTCAAAGATTTGTTGGGTGTGGGAGAATGGGAGAAGAGGGAAAATGAAAGGGGGAATATGTGTTGTTGTGGAATTGCATATCATGTAATATCATCTAAGCGACCCAAATAAATATGAGGGCTACTTTTCAGTTACGTTTGGTTTCCTGGCCTTGATTGGGGCACTGTAAACCAAGTCTTGTGGCCTGTGGTTCACGTATGCATCCTGGAACCCTGTGCTACATTATGTATGGATGGCTTTTTTACTAATTCAGCCAAGACAAGGCTACACATGTCTCATAGAAAGGGCATGGCTATTCCTAGTGTCTGTCTCAGGGTGTTAGGAAAATATAAAGGCTGGGCCTCATTAGAGAGGGTGAAGTCTACTGCTCCTGTGATCAAAGTTGGAGCTTTCCAATCTGTGGGCTGTTGTTCCTGAGGGCAACAGATTCTCTGCAAAGGCCTGGGAATCCATGGATATACTTATCATGACCTGTCTGTCAAAGATGCATGGTAAGAAGTTCCCTCAGAGGCCGGGTGCGGTGGCTCACGCCTGAAATCTCAGCACTTTGGGAGGCCAAGGAGTTGGATCACCTGAGGCTGGGAGTTTGAGACCACCCTGACCAACATGGAGAAACCCTGTCTCTACTAAAAATACAAAATTATCCAGGTATGGTGGCACATGCCTGTAATCCCAGCTACTTGGGAGGCTGAGGCAGGAAAATCACTAGAACCCGGGAGGCGGAGGTTGTGGTGAGCTGGAGATCGTGCCATTGCACTCCAGCCTGGGCAACAAGAGCGAAACTCTATCTCAAAAAAAAAAAAAAAAAAAAAGAAGTTCCCTCAGAGGAGGAGAGGTGGAAAGCCAGATGGGGCAGGGTCACAGAAGCAGATATGTTGTCAGTGCTCTAGTTTCCCTGTTGGATTGGTGTCCATATTATTATAAGCAAGCAAACACTAAAAGAGCACTGTGCAGGAACCAACGAAGAGTAAATTTTTTTTGATCTGAGAATTAGAATGCATTCTGTGCCCCAAACAAAGAGAGACAGACAGACACCAGACATATAAAATGGCATTCAGTGTCTCAGAAGGGAGAGAGGGCAGAGCTGAATTTGAGAAAGCTTTCCTGGAATGAGGGTACCTTGAAGCATGGATATGACCTGGGCCTACAGATCATAGGTCAACATGCAGGCACCATTCGCCTGCCCTGCTGCTATAGTTGGGATGTTTGTCCCCTCCAAATCCCATGTTAAAATTCAACTCCAAATGTTGGAGGTGGGCCTAAAGGGAGGAATTTGGGTCCTGGGGAGTGCATCCCTCATGAATAGATTGGTGCTGTGGAGGTGAGGGGAGTGAATTCTCATTCTATTAGCTTCCAACAGACAGAGCTGGTTGTTAAAAGGAGCCTGGGAACTCTCCTCCCCTCTGGCCATGTGGTCCCTTCCCCTTCCGCATGAGTGGAAGCAGCCTGAGGCCCTGAAGCAGACGCCAGCACCATGCTTCCTGTACAGCCTACAGAACCCTGCGACAAAAAAACTTCTTTTCTAGAAACTACCCAGCCTCAGGTATTCCTTTACAGCAACACAAATGGACTAAGACACCTGCCTGCTCACATGCCCTGGAGGAGATGAGGAGGATGCAGACATTTGTGAGACAGAGCTGGAGAACGAGGGCTGTTACCGGGAGGTGGGTGGTCCTGGTTTTGGGTGAACTGAATTTGGGCCTTGGGTTAACCCTTTCCTGGTTGTGGTTAAAAATGAAAAACTAGTGAAAAATGTGGTCAAGGATTACTGGATTTAAAGCAGCATTCATGCCAATATAATGTATAGAAGAAAAATACAGAACAAAAGTGTAAGGGGTTAAAGAAGAAAATGGAGTTACGCTATTTAAAGTGTTTGTACGCTGAGTAGTAAAATAGGAGTGCAGGGGAAATGAACTGCACTAGTGGGTCCCCTTCTCCGCCTTTCCCACATGGGTGCCCTCTGCCACATGTCTTGCGGTTCCTCTCATCGAGGTGTGGTGTCGCATTTCACCAATCCTTGGATCTGAATTTTGCCACGGACATGGTTTGGTCAACGGGATTTAAGCAGGGGCTTGGAAAAGTGCTTGTTTCTCCCTCTCTTGAATCTTCACCATTGCCGAGGGGCACAGCCAGGCCAGCCTGCTGGATGGAGACAGTTGCATGGGGCAGAGTCCAGCCCCTCAGCTCAGGCTGTCCCAGGCCAGCCAGCAGCCCAATGGAAGAAGCTCAGCCCAACCAGAAGAACCCACAGGTTACATCACCAACCCACAGCTGCCTGAGCTCAGTAAAAGGCCCATTGCTGGGTGAACCAGGGCTGCTCACTCTTTATAATGCAGCATTCTTGTGGCAATAGATAAATGATACAGAAATGGCATCTAGGAATTAGAGGCTTCTCTAAAATATCAAAAACGTGGCCTTGGTTTTGGAAGCTGGTGGCTAGCAGCACTCACAGTAGGATCTGGAAAAATGAAGGGAAAACTGATATAGGAGGTTGGGAAGATGGTGGCTTGGGGGATGAAGTGGCACAAACTGTTGCTGACGGAGACATGGAAAGTACAAAATATGTTTAATGAACTTGAGAGACTTCACAAGATGACTTCCAGGCTGAATGACGAAAGCCAAATGGCGATTCTGGCTGAGGAAAAGGCACTACAGAAAAGAGAGGAACTCGAAAGAGAAGACGCCAATTTTCAAACAACCGTAGAGGACACGCAGTGAAGAAGGGGTGAGCAAACTCCATAAGGGACCAAAATGTAGACACTGTAGGTTCTACAGGCCGTCTCAGCTCTGCAGCCACTGCTCCACTCTGCTGTTGTGGAATGGAAACAGCCAGAGACAATATGTAAATAAACAGGCATGTATGTGCTTGAAGAAAAATGTAGGGACACTGAATTTTGAGTTTTAAATAATTTTCATGTTTTATGAAATATTCCTCTTTTGGGTTTTTTTTTCCCCCCAACCATTTAAAAGTGTAGGCTGGGTGCACTGGCTCATCTGTAACCCCAGCACTTTGGGAGACTGAAGCAGGAGGATCACTTGGGCCCAGGAGTTTGAGACCAGCCTGGGCAACATAGCGAGACCCCCGTCTCTACAAAAATAACAAAAATTAGCTGGGTATCGTGGCACATGCCTATAGTCCCAGCTGCTCAGGAGGCTGAAGTGGGAGGATTGCCTGAGCCTGGGAGTTCGAGGCTGCAGTGAGCTATGATCAATGCACTGCACTCTAGCCTAAGACCGTGTCTCAAAATATAAAATAATATTTTAAAAACAAAAGTGTAAAAACCATCCTAAGCTCACAGACAACACAGAACCAAGCAATGGAGTGGATCTGACTCCTCGTCTG